CCCATCACTTTGAACAATAGATCCAAGATATCTAAAATTTATCTTTATTTAATGACTTGATCGCCCAAAGTCATAATTCCCCTTCACTAGGTCTATTTTCATTTAAAAATTACACTCCAGTATATTCAGTTTTAGATCTACTCAAGCGAAATCTCTTAGACTCTAAGACCATCCAGTAAATTCAAGTAACATTAAACGTCCCTTCTCTACTTATCAACAAGAAGAAGTATCATCAGCAAAAAGCATGCACCAAGTACATCCTCTTGCAAATGTCTAGTGAGAACATCATCTATATATTCATATATATAAATTATGGACTTAAGGCTGATGCCTTGATTGCAATCCAACCGAAATTATAATATATCTTGGTCAAAACCACCTTGATGTTTGAACACAAGTATATAGTCTCTTGCATAAACATATCCTTAATTAATTGAATATTAAGCATAATTAAACGTCTTTTCTTTTCAAGAACTCTTCAATAGCACTTCTCTTGTATTATCCATTTGCTTTCTCTAAACAATAATATCATATGTATTATCTCTCTTATTTCTCTTATATTTCTCATTGAACCTCTCAATAAAGTATGTTCCATAGTAGACCTTTATCTCTCTACATGAATCCTATATATATATTATAAACTCTTTAGTATCATGTCTCAAACCTTATGCTCCAATAACTCGCTCCCATAGTTTTAAAGTACTGGACACATTAATTGTTAAGTCGCTCTGAAGTTTGCGCACGACTGCGCTGGTGGCATCCTCTTTTATTCTTTAAAATATAGAATTAAACACAGAGCTTCATTCTCCTGTACTGATACTGACATCATTTTAGTCTTCAAAATAGTATTAAATATTGTAAGCCAAGAAAATTCCTTTCATCTCCTAAGCATTTCCACATTCTCAAATTGGAATATCATCAGGTCCAACAGCTTTTTCCCACACTTCATTTCTTTAAAGCCTATCTGTAAACTTCATTTTATTTATACGCTGATAAAATAAAAAAAACTTATTTTTCATTGTAGGGTGAAAGCACTAAAGTCCCCCAATCATATATTTTCCTTTTCAAAAAAATATTTCTTCATTAAAAAAAGTTTAGCAAAATATCTCATCACATCTTTGTTGATTATCAATTTTCTAAGAAAAGTACTTTTTGATCTTCATACCTTATAATACACTTCACTTGAACTTAAATCATTACTACTCTTATCACTTTTGGTTGGATGAACTTATAGATGTTTTTATATCTTTCTCCCTCCTAGTAACTAATATATTATATAAATCATTAAAAGCTAAACTCTTTGCATCGCAAATAGCTTTCTTAGATCCTTACAAGCCATCTTTATACTTTCCCAATTATCAAAGAAATTTTTACATATAAAAATTTTTATAACAATCTTCTTATTTTTTATCTTTCTTGCACATTTAAATTCCGACCACCAACTTATTTTTAAACTATTAGGAGCTTTTCCCTTGAATACTCCAACACAATTTTCAATATTCTTAATATCAAACCACTTTTTCCCACATAATTTATTGGATCCGTCATGCCACAGACAGAATGCTTAAGATCTAAATCTTACTCTTTAAAAATATTTTTATTAATTTTTTTAAATGCCCCATCTAATTTAGAAATCGTTTTTACTTTATTAAGTTATTTTTTCCCTTTTATTCTTAAAGTTCAAAACTAATATCGATGTTGGGTAGATAAATTTTCACTCGAAAATAACTTACAATCTTTGCAATCTATAACGATCAAATATTCTTATAAGAAAATAATCAATCTGCGTTTTACAATATCCATTTAAAGTGATAAGATGCTCAACTCTTTTCTTAAATAAGGTATTTAGCTATTAAGAAATTATAAGCTAAAGAAAAATCTAATATAGTCTTACCACATTCATTCACCATTCCAAACCCATAGCCACCATGGATGCTTTTAAAATCATCTACCTCTAGTATAACATGTCCATTTGAATCTTCCTCCAATAAAAAACTCTTGTCTTCTAATGAGGTATATTATATTAATTTTTCTTAGTCATGTCCAAAATTTTTAATTTTTGAACTCAGTATCCAAACCTACTTGAGAGCATAAAAATAAACACTAATAATATTAACAATCTTAGCATCAACAACAATCTTTAAAGCTATAATTCTATCTCCAATTCTATTAATTTTTATAACATCATCCTTCAAACTCTTATCTATAATCACACATACACCATTTCTAGTATGACTCCTACCCGAATATCATAATTTATATCCTAAACTATTAATTTCCTTAGTTTTCTCTCCAACCCATTTAGTTTCCTGAATGCACAGAATATTTATCTTCCTATGAATCATAATATCTATTAATTCCATTAATTTGCCTGTAAGGGAGCATATATTCCAAGTTCCTATCCTAAAAGAGTTGCATATTACTGTATTGGGAAAATTTTGAAATCAAAATCTTGTAAATTTAGAACAGCATAAGAATCAATCAGACTCATATTTCCCCAGTCGATACAATCAATTCAAATCTAAAAGAGCAGTTCAAGTGTAGCAGATTCAATATTTGAGGATCAGACAAAGTTTTCATTTCAATTGAAGAGGTCAGTATAGTCCAACATTTGAGACTGAATATTAATCTTTAGCTTAGTATCATGAGCTAACAAATCATTAAGAAAAAAAGAAAAGTTTGCTAATGGAAGAGTGAAAGAAAAGCTAATATGAAAGAAGAGAATAATACATGAGTAAATGTTGACCAAATAACGTTGTGCAAAAAAGAATTAAGATGTTTCAAGGAAAAAAGTGAACAATTGATCAACTATTGGAACACATTATAAGGGATCAGTCTCAATAAAATCTGACTGCACTCCATTAGGTAAATGCAGACAATAAGCATGACCACATAAAGATTAACACAAGCATTAACTATAACAAAATCCAGCAAAAGGCTGATTTGCAGAATGACTGCCAATTAATACTGCAAATAAAATACGAAATAAACTTATGATCTAATGAATTTACTGCTAAAAAAACTTGCACTGTTCATATAAAGACTGAAAACTTCGAAAACAATTATCATAGATTTAATAACAAAAGAATGGACAGGAAAAGAGGTATTTTTTGGCATTTTTGACATAACATACACATCATAGTAAAGGCTTAAAAGAAAAAATATAAGCCAATTCTTAACATTAACATGTGAAGAAGTTGATACTTGTAGCAGAGACTAACAGGTCATTGCCATTTTTATCATACTTCGATGTGCAACTACTAACCATTAATTCAATTTATAGGATGATATGCTACATTCATCCCAATATTGCCCGCATATATATATATATATATATAATCCTTAACATAACCATGTGAAGAAGTTCAAATTTGTAGCATAACCATGTGAAGAAGTTCAAATTTGTAGCATAGATTAACAGGTTACTGCCATGTTTATCATGCATTGATGTGCAACTACAATCCATAAACTCAATTTATAGGAGCTAGATACATTCTAATAATGCCCGCACAAGCCTACGATACAAATAACAAACCGCTAAACAAATAATTCAAATACAGACCATTTAGGATACATATTAGTAAAACAACATAACTATGAAACATAGCAAATATGAAAGGAAGAACCGTGTCCAAATTCAATGCAATGGAAAGATGAAAGGAAGACCCGTCTCCAAATTCAAAACAAAGTCTCCAAATTCAAAACAAAATTAGCAGCATTAGATGACTAATTGAAGCTGTTAATAGAGTTACTTAATAATTTGCAGGGTAAATAAGATGCTATTAAAATAGTTAATAAGGATTGATGTTGGAACTTACACATGTTGTAGGGTGGCATGGAACACAATGTTCCCAATGGCAAGTATCATATTTGAGATATGAAGAATGCTAAATCTTTTCTCAAATCTTTGCCTTAAAGCATTTATAAGGCCGATGAGTGCCAAAATAATACATGGAATGTTGGAGATAGTATTATAAAATTCTGCAATATATGAGGAATGAGCATAGTTTTCTTCACACAGCTCTGTTGTGGAAGTCACAGGACCCCAGAAGCTTGATACCATGCTCTCCGCCATATCTCCAAATCCTTTTGACTGAATCAGCACTTCAGCTTGAAAACCATATGCGTGAGAACTAGCTCGGAAACATTAGAACATTGGAAATAAATGCACCTGCAAAATGAAAGTTACACCATATAATGAATATCAAAATAGATGTAATATTCGTATGTCATCATGACAGCATCCTGCAGCCTCATGCAAGGCACAAAGAACAAGAGAATTGAAGAAATCTCTCCTTCTAAAGAGCTTCCAATCCGAATAATCATTTTCAAATTGCCAAAAAAATAGGGAACAGGGTAAGGAAGAAGCATTAAACATTCTTCAAAAAATAAATAATCATAGAGGAAGAATGACAATTGATATGGCAGTAAGCATTCAAAGATACAATATAAGTGAATGCTTTGGCTGCAAAAAGAAAGGCAAACATAGTTGTTGAAGACCTAGCACCTTCATAGACTAAAAGTTCAGCCAATAATGCTGATCTATTGCACAGCCTACTCCAGACGCAGACCTTTGTCATTTTTCTATAGATGGAGGAAATCTGAAAAAAGTCCAAGAAAGATTTTTTTGTAATCTTTCAAAATTCAGGACATGGCCTATAGATTTAATGTAATAAATGTCAGCATATAGTCATATGGAACTAAAAATACCCAAAAGAAATCCTAAACAAAGAACAGCTTATATAAGAATGAAAAATAGTGGGTAGAAGCATCTAACAACAATGGCATCTCGCATCACCACCAAGAATAAAAGAAGATATCAAAAACTGAAGCCAGAAAACAATCACTTCCCATGTTTGTCAAATTCTTCTTTCCTTGGTCTTTTTTTTATCCTCATTGTGTTAATCTGGCCATATGGTAGGGAAAGTTTTAACGGATAGTCTTTTCATAAATTGATCTCTTACCATTTTTATCTTTTCTTATTTTACTGTTAGAACAAGAGGTGGATTCACAAGACATCAAGGGAGACAGGTTCATACAGTGAAATCTTGTTAGCATCAACTAATTGAGATTGAAATATCAGACCAGTTACGCAAATTCATATAACTGACTCTCTAATTTTGCGATTGAGACTGCATACCCTATTGCTAGAGTTGCTCCACATAACTAATGCCTTGATGACGCTCTCTCTCATCTGTCTAAAATCTTAATTCAAGTAGTTTATCCAGGAAATTAGATCAAGCTTGAAGTTTATATACAAGTAGATTAAATTCAATTATTGATTGCATTAAAATTGATTGCATTAAATCACTCTTACACAATGTAATTTCTATTACACCAAGGCCTAGACCTGCAAATTTGTGATGAATCTGAGAATTTTAGAAATCAAGAAAACTCTTTCTGAAATTTTTAAAGTTCTAGCTATTCATAATTAAGGAATTATGAACGAGGCTTTGCAACACAATAGCATCGTCAATTAAGTTCTTCTGACATTCAAAAAAATAATGTTCTTACTATTATAGTAAAGACCCCTGATGCAGTTAAGACTGAAAATGAATTTGCTTTCATAGTAGACAAGTCACATGATCTATCAGACAAAGAACAAATGGCCCTATCTTTATGGTACGTTGATAAACAAGAAATAGTTGTAGAGAGGTTTCTCAAATATTTGCTTGTTCGTGTGTTTTAGCCCTAACACTTGAGATACTAATGGTCTCTTTGCTTAAAAATTTGGGTTGACAATTTCTAAAATCTGAGGGCAAGGGTATTGTTGTGCAGGAAGCATGCGAAGTGAATTTAGTGGCTATAAAAGTTTGATTTGGAATGAAAATCCCTCTATTTTCTTATGTGCAATATTCTGCTAATCAATTACAACTTACACTTGTTTTGTCTATTTCAAAAAATTACATCAAGATTGCATCTTTTTTAAAAAAAAAATTCAATAGAGATTTTACTAAATGTTGGCTGAGGTCTTTGCAAAAGACATGACATTATGATTATTAAGGCTTTTTGAGAAGGAAAATTCTTTGCAGACATTGTTTGAATCAAGAAACAAATCTCAAACATGGTTCTTACTTATCACTATAACACTGATGTAGAATAGATATGTGGAATGGAAAAGGGAGGGAAGATGTACTTAATTAATTCCTTAAATAGAGTTCCATTTTTTTTTTTTGTGGAAGGAATTAATTAAAATAGGAAAGAAATTGGGGGCCTTAATGGAGAGCATTAATCAAGTAGAAAGAGGAGTATTTGTGTCTAAATTCATTGTGTGTGGGCCATGACATTAATGATTGATGAAATAATTAAAATCTAAAATTAATTTCAAGTTTTAACTAGAGTGAATGGTTTCCAAAATGGTTTGGGTTGATTTAGGAAGTTTTAGAAATTCAAATCAATTAGATTTGAATTCGAATTCTTTCCAAAAAAAATTATGTGGCTAAATATGGAAGGATTTGAATCTTGAATTTTAATTAATTTGGATTCCAAATTGATTCCAAATTAATTCAAACTAAATTAGGAGATCCAAAGTATGGCAAGTGGAGTGGGGTCGGCGGATTTAGCCAAGCATGGCCGGCGGCTAGAGGAGGGATTAGGAGGAAATTAAGGAGGTTTTAATGCCTCTAGAATTTGGATGATTAAATTTAGAATAAATTAAGTCATCGTCATTAATTCAAAATCCAATGGAGGGAAGATTTGAAAATTTTTCTAAAATAGATTTTATAATTTAGGAAAGAATTTGAATTTCAAATTTGAGAAAATTTGAATTTAAAGACCAACTAAATTATGGCAATCCAAAATTTAGGAAGTAGCCAAAGTAGGCAATAGAGGATGGGAGAGGGTGTGGCCGGGGGCTTGAATGGGCGGGTAAGGGGCCGACGACAAGGTGGAGATGGGGACGAAGTGATGGTGGAAGTAGGAAGATGATGAATATGACTATGAGGAGCTATAAGAAGGAACAAAAATAGAGAAACAAAATATCAAGGATACAACTGCGAGCCCGGACACATCCTGCGGCTGACGGATACTACGTTGCCCTTCTCTAAGGGACTTCACGCCACAAGCCCGGACCCAACCTGTGGCTGGTGGAAACTCCGACTCCCTCCCAAAGGGAGTTCACTAAAGTTCTTCCCAAATAACACAGATGCAAAACACAAATTTTTTTATTATAATTCCATCATCCCAAATACAAGAGAAGGGGCCTCTATATATAGGCCTCAAAAGAAATTAAAAGACACATTTGCCCCTTGGGCTTACATAATACAAAAGGGTAAAAAAAGAAAATTGCAAAATTAAATCAAAATACACTTAATAAACTAAAATAAAACAAAGTGATCTCGGTCGTCGATCTTCAGCTCCTCCTCGGATAGGCATGGACGGTTGGATGTCCGCATCAGACACTTTGAAGATCGATCAACTTTAGAGCAAGTAGATCATGCTACTGGTCTTGGGGAAATACAATATCTAAATTTATATTTAAGCTCCATAAAATGAAAGTATATTAGGAGTAAAAAAACAATTTATGGCACACAGAAAGATCTCAAGATATTGTGAATGGCATGGGAGAAGCTAAAATCTCCAAGGATTGTTTACAAATTAAGCAAAATGATAGATGAAAAAACTTTATCATAAGAGGTACTTATGATTTAAAGCAAATATAGTATTGCAATTCCTCAAATGAATGATGTTTATGTGCTTAAATGAAAGAAAAGATCCTATGGTTATAAACCTACACTATTATCAAGTAGATTTATTCTATAATTTCATAACCAAGCAATTTGAAGAGCTTAATGACTGTCTTATTGAGATAGCAGATGAGTTTACTCTACATGAAATGTTTGAATCCAATCCAACTAGTTATTTCTTCTTTGGACAAGGTTAAGTTGACAATGCCTGTTTAGTTTTATCGCTCAAAATTTTATGCATATGTTATCTTCACGTTGGATAATCAGCATGGCTAATATATTTGATATGCACATAAGAAAGAATTTTTCTAACTTGAAGGGAATTGATAGCCTTGCTGAAAAAATGATGAAAATAAATAGAAACAATGTTTAAACCATAGTTTATTTGCTTATAAAATAAAAATTTCTCTCCAGTTGATACTATTAGCATTACAAAGCATTTTCAATAATGAATATGATGAAAAGTTGACTGCAAGAAAGAGTAAGTGATATTTGGATGAATGATTGCTTGGTTATACACACTAAGAAAGACATATTCAGTAAGATCGATAATGATTTATTTTGCAATATTAAGAGGTCACTTGTAATATATTTTTATCCACGCTAAAGATTTTGAATGAACAAATATCAAGAAAATTGATATTGGAATAAAATTTGACATTTATATTCTTGCAAATTGAAATGATTATGGTTTCTTATAACTTAAATTTGCAATACAAAATTATAAATTACATATTGATCATTTATCCCCCACACCCACCCCCGAAACTCAAGCTTTTCGCTTCACCACTAGTGATGCAAGCAAAAATTTGGGAAGGGCCTCAAATTTTTGCAAGCAAATGAAATTCTTCCTAGATAATAGAAACTTACATGAACTCACAAAAACTAGACAAATTAGACAAAAAATAAACTTATATAATAAAAAAGACTATTACAAACTTGGACACAAATACCTTACAAACTTTGACAACATAAACACAAATTAAAGACACCTAAAGGAGCTTGCCAATCGTTGAGAAGAAGGATACAGGTGGGGTGGATACTTGCGTAGAGAATAAGGGAATTAGAAGCCAAGAAAAAGTATAGCTCGCAGGCTATAGAGAGGAGAGGAAGGAGAAGGACATAGCTCGCAAGCTATTCCAAAGAAAACCCTCAGGTTTTATCTCCAAAATCATAATTTTCACCATAAACTCTGTTAAAACAGCCACAAACATCTCTATTTATAGGCACAAAAAAGGCAGCCAAACAACCCAAATATCTCCCATTAAACCCATTAAATTCAAGTAAATGGAAGGCCAAAAGATAGAAAATAGAAGGCCAAACAGCAGCAGAAAAACTACACATAAAACAAAGAAATTCCATAGAATTCCCCCCCTCCCCCCAAACAGCCACGGAAAACCAGCCAGCAAGGGACCCGAAAAGCCAGCACAGGAAGCAAAACATCAGGTCACGGGAAACCAGCCAGCAAGGGACCCGAAAAGCCAGCACAGGAGACAAAGCAACAACCCACGGGAAACCAGCCAGCAAGGGACCCGAAAAACCAGCACGGGAGACAAAGAGGCAGGACAAGGGAAACCAACCAGCAAGGGGAAAATCGAGAAGGCATAGGGAGGGGAAGAGGCACAAGCTTGGGGAAACCAAAGGGTCTTTAGAGAGGGGAGTAAAGGAGAGGAATGAATCTTGATTTGACAATAAATACACAAATTATGAGCTGAATTAAGTAGTGGGAAAGCATTTATGAGCTGAAATATAAGAAGAGGCTCATTAATGAGCTGATTCAAGTAGAACTTACAAAAATTTCAACAACTTGTTTCGAAACCAAGGGACCCGAAAAGCCAGCACAGGAGACAAAGAGGCAGGACACGGGAAACCAACCAGCAAGGGGAAAACCGAGAAGGCATAGGGAGGGGAAGAGGCACAAGCTTGGGGAAACCAAAGGTTCTTTAGAGAGGGGAGTAAAGGAGGGGAATGAATCTTGATTTGACAATAAATACACAAATTATGAGCTGAATTAAGTAGTGGGAAAGCATTTATGAGCTGAAATATAAGAAGAGGCTCATTAATGAACTGATTCAAGTAGAACTTACAAAAATTTCAACAACTTATTTTGATCTCCCCCCCCTTCCCCCCTGCCTACATCAACTAGTCAGAAATATGAGTATTTAAGGTTAGGTGTATTATTAAGTTATTATTAAACCGTTTCAATTTCCCTTTTTCATCTTCCTCTCAACCTATCATTCTCACCTTTTTAGGCTAGCTGAAATGAGAGAGAGGATACTAAAAGAGGGTAAAGATGATACCAAAGGAAAATATCAGAAAAAAAAAGTGCCAGTTTAAAAGAGCCTCGCCCCACCTATTCTACAAATTATGGGTCTAGGTGCCGAGAGGGTGAAACTCACACAAATATCAACAAGTAATTTCACAAGCTTTCTTGTTTATAATAGCTAACTCAATGATAATCAACACAATGAAATTGAACAAAACTTCACTAAATGACACAAAATATACAAGAACTCAGACTTAACACATTGTGAGATCCCATATAACTTAAAAAAATACCAAATTAAGTATAAAAAAAGAAAACACAATGCCTTGATCAAATTCCCTACTGATTTTTTATGTTCTAATCAAACTTTCGTCACCTCCATGAAGGTTGAAAAAAAAAATCATCCCAAGTTCTAGCCCCTTAAGAAATGTTCACCTAGTTTTCCAGGTTAACCAGATTTTCAGGTTCATTATGGCATATAAAATCAGTTGCTTAAATTTATTTCCCATCGATGTAGAGGTTCATGGTAAAAGAAAATATACGGTCATAATCAACACGGGTAAATTTGCATCATTATGATGACAAAACAACTATAAGGTAGTTACCAAATGCATCTACTCTTCCACTCTACCAATCCAAATGTATATAAACATAATAAAGGATACACTACATGCAAAAAGATTGAGGCAATACAACTATACATTCCAGATAAACCATCCTCCCATCAGCTATGCTAATAACCTCGTAGTTCTTATGTACACAAATTGGGCAAGTTCAACCTAACTAAAAAACAGGAAATAACCTAGTTACTACATGCCCCTCTTAAACAGGCACTTCTATGAACGTTTTGCATCCATTATCTATATCTGACAAAGGCCTCCAAAACTATAAAATTCAGCTATTAAAGAAGTAAAACATAACATAATTGTAAAAAAAAAAGTGAAAATAACCAACAGATTAAAATAAGAGAGTTAAATATCCGTAACTACGAAGCCAGACAATGACACAGTCTAATCGGGACAACCTTAGCAACGGTCAACATCTCCCTACTCCGTCAGAAAAGGGGACTAAAGGCAACTAGCAAATGCAGTAGACTCCCGGCCTCCCTAATAGCAAGATGATCGAGCAATTGAGCAAGTCTTGTCATTCAAAAGTAGTAAAATCTAAACACGCTCATCCTATACGCATTGAAACCCAGGTTCCTATAACATATAAAGAGAATCCACCAAATAAACCCCACCAGATCCAGCCAAATCAAGATAAACTACTGCAAAGCAGGATTGGATAACACATGTGAAAAAAGCAATCACGAAGGAACAAGCAATTTCTTTCCTACGGGAATAGTAGTTGTAGATCTCAAACAGCAATTCAACAAACAAACAAACAAACAAACGAAGAGATCCGTTATCGTGGATCTCCTAACCTGCGGATAGAGCAGAAGGAGAAGCAGATAAGCCCTTGCTCTGCTCTGGCCCTGATCTGTCTACCTCCACCAGACCAGGGAAGAAGCGATTTCGCACCTGGCCTTTTTTGGGTTTTACATGTTTTTTTTTTTTCTATTATAGTAATATGAACAATATTCCCTTTCCAAAAGGCGCGCGCCCTTGATCGGCCCATTGTATGCCACGGTAACCTCCCGTAGTCTCCGTACGTGACACGTCCTGTTAAATCTGACCGTTCATTCCACTTCTGTCCGCCGGATCATTGAATTGTATAGTAAAAAAAATTTCAACGTTGCTTCGTTGAGGTTCTTTGGCTAGATTATTTAGGATATAAAGTATTTTAAATGCATTAATTTTATAATTTTTGATATTTAGTTGAAATAGAAAATGATACAAAGTAAAATATAGTAAATATAATCTAAAATGAAGTAGTTCATTTTAAGTGTAAATCAAATTCCACCGATTTTGAGTGAAAACAATTTACACCACAAACTTGTTGGACCACCACCCTTGGCCGATCACCGCCAGCTGTCAGCCACTACCATAGCCCGCTTGCTCCAGCCACCATCGTCGACCAAAATCACTACCGTCGACCGTCACCATTTAGGACTTTACTCTATATCATCACCTCTAAACAAACAAAAAAATCATTTACCTGCATTTACTTTGCATTCATTCAAATAACTACATATTCTTCATTTTATATTGCATTCCTTTTTCAGCAAACCAAAGAGCCCTAACCTCAATTTTCTTTTATAAAGCTATACTTATTAATTCCCAAAAAATGTGTTTTATTTTAACTTCATTCTTCTTTTTATTAAAACAATATTTGCACTTTATTACATTAGATCATGTTGATTTCGTTTATATTTTACGTAAATATAAAATTTATGTAATGAAATTTAAATTTAGCATAATTTTTCGTTTTAAAAAATTTAAATGTTTACATTTATTTGTTTTAGAATCAATTATGAGAATATCTAATTTTTTAACTTACTTTTTAATAAATTTATGTTTCATTTGGGTCATCTTTCTTACTACTTTCTAAAGAAGTTTTTTTGTATAAAAATTTTAGTTCAATAATTTTTTGAATTAAAAAACTATTTTAAAAAACAAAAGAAAGCTGTCCCAAATAAAGCCTAGTAATTAAAGTAAATATTTCGACTAGATAAATCCGACGAGTTTAAAATCTCTCAATTTTCTAATTTAAAGATTAAGATACCTAAAAAAAATGAATGATACAAAGGACTCCATTAGGCCTATGTTAATCTTAGAAAGCCAAATAGTTTTGATTGATTATCTTCTTGAAGTACACCCAAAATTCACTCGTATTGAACTGGTGTTGAACTAGTTGGTTATGATGTGGTAGCATAATACTAATTCATGCCCAATCATAAAATTCAATTAATTTTCATTGTTAGAGTAATCTCTCCAATTAATCATAATCATACAAAATTATCAAAATATTGTCATGGGCTCGAGGACCAACTATCAACTCGCCTAGATGCGCTTGATCCCAATGAAGTCAGTTAAGCCAAGCCTACCACTAATTGGGAAGTTTTGGCATATAGTTAATAAACTTGAAACAATATAATTATTGTATCTTTTTGTATGACAAACTTTTATTGAAATTTTATTTTATTACTTGGTAGATATGTATGTCATTGATATAACTTTTCTATAGAAACTTACATTTTCCCCTGCCTTTAAATAGTATGTCAAAAGGCCAAGTAGGGACATGAAATAATTCGAGGCTCTTACTTTTTAAGTAATATAAAATTTAGCAAGCCTCTACTCCTCTCTCTCTCTCTCTCTCTCTCTCTCTCTCTCTCTCTCTCTCTCTCTCTCTCACCCCCACTTCCAACTATCTCTATCTACTTTGGATAGCCCATCTTATGATTGAGGTATTGGTGTTACCAACAAACAAAATTGTATTCAAGAATATACTTTAAGGTGTCATGATGATGGATTTATGACACCGACTCAGATCCATATCATGATACTATAGAACATAAAACAAGGAGAAGAATCGGTGGAGGTGGATAACAAAGAGTTGGTTACAAACCAAAAACTAACTCATGAAATATAGGATTACTAAAATAATCCAAAATGTTCTGCAATAGGAGTCTATGCTTGCCACCCAATTAGATACATCCTACAACAACAATGCCAAGTATAATCATCCTAGTTGGCCTACGAGTCTCCGTGTTAATATTGGCCTCATCAATAAATGTCAACTACCATACCAAAAGTGGTGACTACTACCATACCAAGGTATCTACACCAAGTTGACTGAGAAGTGGCAACTAATATTAATTAATGTCTTTACCTAAGAAATCATCAAGGCACACCTCCTAGCAAAGTTTAATCCCCACTTCGACTCCTTCAGAGAAAAGATGAATCAAGTTAACTGCATCACATACTTCAAGTCAACCATGTCATTACTAAACATCAAGATTCACTATAGTGCAAACTATTTTTACTACCCTTAAGGAAAAATTCTATAAGATGGTAGTGAGGCCTGCAATGTTTTTTGGTGCTGAATGTTAGCCATTAAAAGAGAAGCATAATACTAAATTAAGTGTGGCAGAGATGAGGATGCTCAGGTGGATGAGTGGCTTTACCCTTAGAGAGAAGATACAAAATGATCATATACGTGAAAAGGTTGGAGTAGCTCCAATAGAAGATAAGATTAGAGAGAGTCGCCTTAGATGGTTTGGTCACATAAAACGGCGGCCTTCCAATGACCCGGTTAGGAGAGTAGAGGTATTAGATTTGACTTATATTAAGAAAGGTAGAGGCAGACCTAAAAAGACTTGGTTAGAAAATATTAGGAATGACCTTTCTTTATTAGATTTAAACGAGAATTTGACTTTTAATAGGACACAATGGAGAAAAAGGATTCATGTAGCCGACCCCATGTAGTGGGATAAAGGCTTGATGTTGTTGTAAGGAGGCATCGCTCTACTAATTTGCTCACCTTCCACTAGGGAGCATTTCCTTCTTCATCACATTTATAATAAATTTTACTAACTATCAAAATCCATTGAAAATTTCTTAAGCCTTTATAATAATGAGGAAGAAGCATGGCAGACCCTACAAGACTTCATATTTTGATTCTGGATTGAGGTATTGAAATCAAATATCTATAGCTAGTTGAGGCATATGTTGCACTCACCCATATCTAAATGAAAAACCATTTTGATATGCACTAGGATTACAAAAGCCAAATTCATTGGTTAAATTTCTAGAACTTGTCAATAACAATATTAATGTTAAGCACTATGATTGGCAATATATGTTATTCTAAACTATATAGAATCTAGCTAAAGAGCATGAGGCCCATTGAAAGTTCTTGCCTCCATCATCAATTCTCCTTATGTATATTACATGACTATAGCATTATCTTGAGTAGAGTATGCTCCCTCAAATAGAGATAACTTGTACATTGGTTGAAATTTCACAGTGATGTGGTAGGTGGAGACCAAAAATTATTGAGGGGGCACCAAAATATCATGTTGTATGTTTTGGGGATGTTGATCATAATAAAGTTGATTGTGGCTATGAATCGGTGGTTACCTTCACCTCATGTAATTGGTTGTATAATTACACCCTCAATTTCCCTATACAAATTAAAGACACCATAAAAAGGTCAAGTTGTGAAAATTAGTTCTTTTTTTTTTCTTAAATGCTTAGAATAATTATTCTTGCTTGCTGAAACATTCACAATGATAGAGAGATAAAGAGTTTAATATCTTATCTTTGTATGAAGATCCAACACACACATGCATTGAGAAGTAAAAAAATTGTAATAGATACCAAATTGTTTATGTGAAAAATCTAAGAAAGGAAAAAAATCATGGATAAAATCATGGAGACTTGACACAATTAAAATGATTTCATTACTATTTATCATTGGTTAAAAATGACGCCCTTCATTGGGGGAAGACATTGATAAAGTGTGAAGAGGAAATCTAATATAAATCTTGATTCTAATGATGGGAGTCATAGTTAATATTGACATGATGCACCAATATCATAAGTTATGGTGTGCTTTAGCATTATTGATGGTGGCAGGTTATCACAACCCAACTCGATAAGACCCACTGATAGAACAAATCTTATCGTGTTAATCTATAACAGACAAATCGCAAGATCTCATTTTTGAAAATTTTCAATTTTCATCTTTAAATTTAAACATTAAAAATAATAATGAACACATAGCTAGTAATAACCTATAGTGCTAAAAATAAATTCATCCAAAAATTTTACTTTTCATTTATCATCAAAAATTCAGATGCAAACATAGGGCATGGCTATAAATAAAATCTACAAAATTGAGTAATAAAACTAGTCATGATTGTGCAAAAATTAAAAAAAAAAATACCTATAAACTCATATCAAATTCCTGAAACTTCTACTCAACTGGATCCTTTCCATTCCCAGAGCCTAAAAACATAATGTAAAATCATAATGAGCTAAACAACTCAGTAGGCCACATTTCAATCGATCTAAATTTTTAAATCATTTCATTTATTGAACATTCATTGAGTATTAAAAGTTGGATTGAGCATAAAATTAAATGTTTTTATAAAAAAATTAGGTCAAATATAAAAGCATTTCATATTTCCCTCCCAATAGATATGGTTCAATAACCCTGACCCTTATGCCTCTCAACAAAGTTCAATAACTCTGAGTAACATATAAAGTTTAATAACTTTGAATAATCGACAACATTCAACAATTATGAATAACAAACATAGTTCAATAATTCTGAAATAGAATGTGCATATATCATCTGAACCTTACTTCTTCCACCCCTTTCAAATTTTCACAGAATCACCCATATCAATTAATTAACCACATATTTTAACGAATTGAAATAAATGATGCTTAAAGAAATATATTTCAGAATTTGTTAAAATGCTATAACGATAGGTAACAAAAAAATCCTACTAAACAAAAATGCATATTTTCAAAAAATAATCAAATTACCAAAAATGGTACATTGCACTATATTAAGACTTTAATTATACTACAATATTATTTTTCAGAGTTTGGATTATTTTTATTAAATCAAAATCATATAAATTCCAAAACCCCAATATAAAATTTTTAGAAATTATTTAAAATCTTAATTTTTATAACATATAAAATATTATGTGGCGAAAGATTTATCATTGCAAAGCTATCCCTATTTTTATAAAAAAAAATATAAATTTAATCAAAAAATAAAAAAAAATCATATTTTTGAAAACTCAGATAAGCATAACGTGACCTACCTAGAGACGAATAAAATTTTCAACTAGATCAATTGACAAAATAGCTCTTCGACCTCCAATCCCTAGCTTTTTTTCTCTCTCCTCTCTCTTTCTTATATATTTCCCTTTTTCCCTTCTTTGTAAATGAAATGAGAATATCAAATGGTTTTATAATTTTTTTAAGTGGAAAAATTTTATAAAAAAAAATAATAGAAAAACATTATAAAAATTATTCTAATTATTCAACTTTTAGCATAAAATCATTTTATATCTTCAAATATGGGGATCAAAAAATTATAGAACAATATTCATAAATTAGCTATGTATCTTAGTGCTCCCAAGGAGAATTAATTACCCAGCAGAGAGGTTTGGCATCATAGCACCACCATTCCAGCGCCACACCACAATCAATAATTTTTTTTAATTCATAAAATTTCTAGAAATCCTAAATATACATGATAAACTTACTAGATTTAAATTCAGGTATTACATGTAGACCCATCATTGCAGATGAGATCATGGCATCATTGACTTAGCAAAAAGATGAAAATGGCTTATTATAAACCTTATGAAGCCTCGATTGAAAAAGGTCAAAATTTAGATGTGTATACAGAAAGTGTAGTAGTATACATAGGAGGATGTAAAAATTTAGTAGGAAAACTAATCTATCACACACCAATCCATATATTGCCTTATTTAGGGGTGTCAATATTTGGCACGACCCAAACATTTTGGGTTAGGGTCAACCCGAACCTGAAACATGTCGGGTTTGAGTTCTACAATTCGACCCGTTTAAAAAATTGGGTCTGATTCGGGTTGACACTTTGAACCAACATTGACCCAAAACTAACCAATTTTTTACCTGAAAACCCGTTTTTTACTCAACAGCCCGATATTGACCCGTTTTTTACTCATTTTTATCCGAAAAGTGGAGATTGACCCATTTTTGGATAAAAAAATTAGCATTTTTTTGTTGGCACCGAGTCATTCGGGTTGTGTCGGGTTGACCTGGACCCAAAGCGGGTCGGTCAGGTCTGAAAAATCGACCCATTTTCAAATACAGTTCGGGTTGACCCGAATAGTGCCGGGTTAGTTTCGAGTTCGACCCGAATATGACCCGTGACCAAAAATTGACACCCCTAGTTTTATTGGTAAGTCTCATCAGTCAATTCATATACAAACTCAAATAGTCTCAGCTTCAAGTTGCTTATAGAGCCCTCATATATTTAAATCAAGTCTCAGAAAAGGGATTATCTTTAAAAAGCAAGAGAATTTATAAATTGAATGTTATATTGATCTAGACTATGTAGAATCATGTGGATAAAGATCTACGTCAGGACAATATACATTCTTTGAATAAAATCTCATAATATGAAAGAGTAAAAAATAATCGGTTGTTTCAAAATCTTATATTCAAAATGAATTTAGAGTAATTGCCTGATGAATCTTAGCTAATTCAGGAAAATGATGCACCGTTTAATGCAATAATTGTGCCACATCAGCCAACACCGCAGTGGAGCCAACATAAGCACTGATTTCCTAGTTCATTTTTCACTGCCACAACGCCACCTTATCCAGTGTCGCAGTGCTTGAGTCCTATCATGTACTTATTATAAATAGTTTTCAGTTTTATTATTTATAGTGTTCAGTCACTTGAGTGAAAATATTATTTTTTTAGTGTGTTTCTTTAGTGCCCCCTTAGAGTAAAGTCTAAGGGAGGCTAAGGAAGTGTAAGAAACTTTCTTTGGGGGCTTTTAGCATGTGTTTGTATAAAAAAATTTGTTATTAGAGGAAGGAGAGTGGAGAAGATCTTTTTATCCTTCATGGTGATAAATTTCGTACTACTGTTATACTTTATTCTTCTTTGGATAAAATGAATATGTGTTTGCTTGTTGTTTCTTTTATGTCTAGCTAAATCTCTTATTTTGGCAATGATGTAAAGAGCATATGAAGTACTAATATATACTCATGTGCTTTAATGAAAGTATTGATACTTTTAATATCTTACATTCTTAATTTAATTCATATAATGGTCATGTGTGTAATTAACATTTAGTGTGATATATTACCTCGATGGAAAAATGTTGGAATAATTAGCATAATTAAAATAAAATATTGATATGCCTAGCTAGTCATAGGATATTTAAATATTCTAAGTGTTATGAAGATAATAAAATTGTAGGAAGAGTAACAACCTTCCTTTCCACCCCTACAAGTTTGACATAGATCTAGGAATGCACATGCTCTAATCCACATATATAATTAAGAATCTCATTAGGAAGGCTATATAAGTTACACTCATCAGTCCAAAACACTATCTCATTAGTATAACTCTTTTTACTTATATTTTTATTCAGTGGCAAGAACTAGAAAACATCACTTTTTATTTCAATATCATAAATTTATGCAATTAGAGTAAGTAGTAGCACTACGGGAAAACACGTGAATACCGGTGGAGCGGAAATAATTTATCGACGCGGCCGAAACCGGCGTATGAAATTCCGCCGAAAAGTCCGATGGAAACTCATTATTCCGTCGGATTATCTATGTTTACCGGCGGATGTTGTCCGCCGGTATTAACGGGTTTTCCTGTAGTGTAGTAATTTTATTGCAATTTAGCATAACACTTTCACGTGGGGGTCGACACTCATTTTTTTTTTCACTTCTTTTCTAAATTTGGCACATATACTTGAGTAATTTAGTTGGATATTATTAATTTATATCAAAAAAATCTAAGCATATTTCAAACTCAGCGATTCTCATATTAGCTCACCATAAGCCCCCATCAAGATTTTGGCACCATTATCTAGGAAGTAACGTGCATATTAAAATATAAACTATTGTGTTAAAATAAGTGCATATTTAGACCTACTTGTATCATGTATCTTTGTTCTGTTTCATAATAATTTAAAAAAAAACTAAAAAGTATTATTTTTTATTATTTAGTTTATTTTTTAGTTATTTTAACTTTGTTGTATGCTAGGTAAATCAAGTAAAGAGCTTTTATTATTTGATCCAAAAATAGAAAGGACCGTTATAAAAATTTTAAAAACCAAAAAGATTTTAAAAATGTCTAACCTAATACAAAATCAGTACCATTCTAGATCTCTTAGGGAGTATGATATTCCTATAGTAAAAGAAATTCATTAGAGTATCAATAAACCTACTATCCAAGCTAATAATTTTGAACTGAAATTGATTATTATTCAAATGGTTTAAAATTTCAAGTTTGAGGTAACTTATGTCTAAGATCCCAACTTACACTTAGCCAATTTTTTGAAAATTTGTGCAACATTTAGTATAATGGTGTCATCGATGATGTCGTTAGACTTAGATTGTTTCCATTTTCTCTAAAGGACAAGGCTAAGATGTGGTAGAATTTTTCCCCCTTGCTCTATAACCACTTGAATGTATTGACACAAAAAATTCCTTGCTAAGTATTATCCACCTTAAAAAATTGTCAAACTTCGAATTGATATCACTTCCTTTACCCAGTTTAAAGGAGAATTAATTTATGAAAGTTGAGAGAGATTTAAGAAAATTCTTAGCAAATGTCCTCACCATGCCTTGCATGATTGGATGGTTATTTAGACTTTTTCTAATGTATTAGCAGGATCTCTTAGGTCAATTATAGATGTTGCAGTTGAAAGATCTATAATGTATAAGCCATTTAAGGTAGCATATAAACTAATAGAAGAAATTGCTATAAATAAATTTTGGTGACCTACTGATTGGGTGAATCCTAAGAGAGTAGATGGAGTCTATAAATTTGATGCTTTGTTAATTCTTACTGCTCAGGTAGCTGCTATTTTAAAGAAATTGGATACTATTGGAGTTAACTTAGGATAAGGATCATATATATAATTGGAAGAAACTAATTTTAATTCCATTGATGATACTAATGCTTTAGGGATTAAAAATATGAATTTAATTGGAAAATAAAATAATCTCAATTCTAATACTTACGACCATAGTTGGAGGTACCACGTTAACTTTAGTTGGTCAAATAATGTTGGTGATAATAATCAGTGGAATTCAAGATAATCTAATCAAGGAGGAAACTGGAACAATCCTTAATAATCTGTTGTAAATCTTAGACCTTCTAACCCTCCAGGATTTAATTAAAATAATCAATTTGGGAATATGAAGCCACCCTTGAAAGAGATAATGATTCAATTAGAAACTTAATTATAAAGTCAAGCAGGAGCTTCAATTAAAATTTTGGAAACTCAATTAAGATAGCTTGCAATCTCTTTTAGTAGCATACCTCTTAGTTCATTACCTAATAGTAATATAGTTGTGTGTGTGTGTGTGTGTGTGTGTGTGTGTGTGTATATGTGTGTGTGTGTGTGTGTGTGTGTGTGTGTGTGTGTGTATTTAATTTCAAAAATTATATTGCTCATGATATATATAATCATGTCATAATTATTCTTTCCTAAGTACAAATAAATAGCTAAAATAAAAATAAATAGAACCTGAAAAATCATGACATGCCTCACACTCCCGATCCTCTACCTTGACCTGAAATCATTTAATCATATATAATGAGCTAAAAAGCCTAGCAAGTTACCAAAATCTATAACTGAATTCAAAGCATGATAAATGAGCAATATATATGTCAGGCATCAAGTCATATCAGTAGTATTCATATTTGACTATGATAATTAAGAGAAGTGATCATTAATTTCATATTCAAATTTATGTTACCACATGATATATCTCCGCCAAGAAAGAAGATATTAATTGTTAGCAATCATTCGATTATGACGATAATGATCATTATAAGTTTGATTTTCCAAAAAACTTATTAATTAAGTTTTAAAAATTTGACATCTATTCTAAATCTACTATGAGTGCAAGCACTTGTAGTTAATGCCATCAAGCTCTTGTAGTTAATGCCATCATAGGAAACTTGAGTCTCCTACGAATACTCTTGATCAAAATAACACCATAAATAAAATTTTAAGATTTTTTAGGAGTGATGTCAAAGGAGGTGAATCCAGAGTTTAAACAAGGATTATATTGAATTTTGAACACTTATTTTTGAAGTCAATAAAAGAGCGGTATGAGGTACTTTGAGATTCTAAAATTATTCAGAAGTGTCCCAACCTAATTTGAGTGTTGGCCTTTAAATTTTGGATTATGAAAATTTTTAATTTGAGTTAAATAATTTATTAGAAAATAGAGATTATATTTTTGGATGTTGGGGTCTTATAATTCAAAATCTTCTCTGGATCCTAAGCCTAAATTGGGCACTTGACCATAGTAGCCCAAATCTAACAAATGTAGTACAAAATCTGGACTTATCCCGGCATGGATTGGGGAGCAGCAAACTACCTAGTCAATTTAAAATCAATGAGTTCGATCTTTCTGAAAGAGTGGTAGGAATATTATTATTAAATTTTTTAAGAATCTAAACTAACTTCTAGAGCGGATCCTAATTTGTCCCTTGACTTATGTTGGGTGAGAATGCTTGAGACAAATGTAATTAAAATTTTAGAAACGTTTTTAAATTAATTTCTAATGCAATGGATACTGATCGACTCGATTAAATGTATAAAATGAATATATAACAATTGTTAAAAAGGCTTAAAAATTATTTTTCTTAGAAATTGCACAGCATCCTCTTGACAGATATGTACCCTTAAAGGCCAGATGGTTTGTTAAAACTTGCAGGCAGAAAGGTGCCTAACAAAAAAGATAAGTAATTAATATTTTAATGTAGACTCCCGACAGTCTTCAGCTTACTTCTTAGATAATTAGAGTTTCTATGTTGGCCTAAAATTTTAAATTTAAATTTTAAGTAGAAAATTTTTTATTCGTACCCTCACGAGCCTCCAATCAAATCCAAGCTAAAACAAAACTCGACATGCAAATCTAAAAAAAAACTAAAAAAAGTAGGCAAAATTTAATTATAATTAAATTAAATTAGGCACATCAATCAAATCAACTTAATTAAATAAATGACCATAAGCAAAATTGTTTGTTTATTACAACCCAAAAATTAAATAAATTAAAAGTGATTGGTCACCATTAACAACAAACTTGTATTATAATCTTAGGATTGACGCAAGTTGACTTTGAGTTGGCTACTCTTTATCTTCAACTCTTCGTCCTTCTCCTCTTTGAGCTCATTGGATTTATCGTATATGGATACTCAAATGAAAAAGAAAACCCTTACCCCAAAGGGGAGGTTATTATTTTTGCTTTGGGTATTGAAATCATCAAAACTTAGGTTTCTAAATGGAAAATGACTCTCCCTTAAGGGGTATCCTTTTCTTTTTGGAATCCAATTTTAGATATTTGTATTCAAACTCAAAGACACATTCACTACTCAATACTTAATCAAATTAAATCAATATAAAAAATAAAAAACTAGACTATCCTGTAAGATTATCCCAAGCATTTAAATAAACTAAATCACATCCCAAGCAGTTATATATATTATATATATATATATTATGCATTTTGAACGAAATAAATAAATAAACTTGGCCACGCTCTTATTTATTTGGAGGCAAAGCAGCCGAAGTAGATGTAGTATTTATATTAATTATTAATTTAACTCTTTAATTGTCATGTGCGAGCGTGGCCACATATAAAAAATCCTGTGAGCAAATAGATCGTGCATATCCTAAGGGTAATCTAATACTCATTCAAATCATTTCATAGACTGTATTTAAAAGTAAATTAATATTTACATCAATCAATTTTTAATCATAACATCCAATAAAAAAAATGGCACACATCAATAAAGTAAATACCGGTCTAGCCTATATTAGTGTTAGTTGTCCTAACAAACCATCTAAAGTATGTGAGAATGTTGTGTGGCTGGGATAGATCCTAAGATGGATAATTTATTGAATTTGACTAGTGTTTGAGTTTGTTACATGTAGAAGGAGTAGATTTGTGTTTGAGATTAAGTATTACTATATTATGGTTTACTTCATAATGCTTTTTAAAGATGGATTTGTTAAATTAATTTAATTAGTTAAAGATTTATGATTGATAAATTTTAATTAATTTGATTAGTTATTGATTTTTTAGGATTAAATTAATTTAGATTTTCCATCAACCGGTTCATGGCGTTGTGCCATCAGGCTCGAGGAACCATGTCTACTTATGACACTTAGCCACGCAGCCCGAAGTTATCCATCCTAAGAACCTAGTTGATGTAGTTGAATTAAGGATTTTAACTTGGTTAAATAATTAAAAATCATTTAATTTTAAGATTTTACACTTCAATGAATATCTGTTCATGGTGTTGTCATAGTTGGCTCGATGAACCAGACCTCATGGTACTTAGGCTTGCAGCTCAAGATAGCCTATTCTAAAAACTTCATATTTGGAGTGCTTGTTATGTATTAAAATGGTTGTGGATATTTTTATTAATTAAGTTAGATATTTTTTTTTTAATTTTAATCAATTATTGAATTATTGGAGTTATTGGAATTATTTAGTCGTATTAATTTAAGTGGTTAAAAAGTTGACTTTTTAAATTAAAGTTAATTTTGAAAGTTTTGGATTTTTAATAAATATTAAACCTTAGATGAACAATTAAACTATTATTTTGCTGGATTTGGAGTATTCTATAAGAAGTTATAATTTTTTAAAGTTTGAACCTAGCTTTTACTTGATTTTGGTGTTTGACATTATTAAAAAATACTAAACTTTAAATGGATTTTAACGAAACTAAGCATGGTCAATTTGGAATTTTTTGGAATTACTTATGATTTTTCAAAGTTTGGGCATTTTTTGAATTTTAAAATTGCTTAATTAGGGGGATTTTTATATTTTGATACAAATCAATTCCAACCCTCTTGGAATCACCCCCAAAGGTCAGGAATAATCTAAGGGGATGTTTCCAAGTATTTAGTTATTTTAGGAAATTTTAAAAATATATTAAATTAATTAATTTAATTAATTGTCAAATTTCCTTAAAAATTAGATTAAACTTAAATTAAGGGTCAAATAAAAGGGCTTTTAATTTTCATTGATTAGGAGTTAAAATCTGGTCAATTAGAGGTATTATTGGTATTTTTTAGATTTAATTTGGATTTATTAGAATTTTTAGAAGGTTTAAGGTTTAATTAATTCATTAAATTTAAGTTAATTAATTAATGGGCTTCATGATTTTTAAAAATAGTAAAAAAAATTTTATGGTCTGTAGATAATTCTAAGTTTGAATTTTTAAATTTTATAGCCTATTGAGAACACATTTTAATTTTTAAAAGTAATCTAATTTATCTAAATAGATCTTTAATTTTTGTCCTTATGATGTCACTGTGTTAGCTAGGCTTAAATCAATGTCTTTGCTAACCCTTATCATACATATATGAAGCATCACACAAACACAAACAATTCCTAAATCTATGAGAGTCTAAGCTAAATGCAAGTGTATGTGTCCTAAGCATTCACATTAAGATAAAACTTATTTAGTTGATAAATTAATCAATGAATAATTAATAAAGTAATTGTTCATTGACTAATCACCACTCCCCATTAATGATATATAATCAAAACTCAAGCTATGTTTAAAATTTCAAAACTCAACTCAAGGCTCTCAAAA